ACTACTCCTCTCTACCTAATCACGATTCGATTTCGCCTTTTGAAACGAACTGACTCATCCTTTATCTTTGAAACTTCCAACGAATACGTAGCCATTTTCTTATAAAAATCCGACATTTCAAAATGTGATTATGAATGCAGATCGGTTAAAAGTGCGAGCCACTAATACCATAGGATATACACTTAAATACCACCCCCACCCCGGTCCGTACGATCACGCGCGAAAATTGCTTCAGTATCGTCGCTAATGGCTTCCGGAATTGAATTATTGAGATAGAAAGACAGCAAGTCTATCGCCTGTCGCCTGCTTTGCTCGTGCTTCCTCTCTGATGTTAATTGGCCCTGCTCTTCGACTCCCTTCCATAGATGGAATATGGTCTACTTCCCGCCCTACATTACCGAACGATATGGAAATAAAACGTACGTGTTAATACATGGGTGATAGCTATTTATAGGTGTGATATATGAGATGGATATTAACAGTCAGTAAGTTAGTTATGCGATAATGCTTTGAAGATGAGTGCAGAGGTCTTTTGACTTCTGGCGTTGCACTGTTCTCTGGAACACCGAAAAGCTGACAAAAAATACAATGTCTACTGCATTTATACAATATTCGGTTAATTTATCTCTACGAGGGCATCTGAAGGTCATTTCAAGGTCATATATTTTTTTTTATATCGAAACAGCCGCGCAGGCCAAAGCCTAAATGCCGGAACACCGCGGCTGCTATGATGATCCCAAAGAAATTTTGTTAATACGATTTTTGAACTGCCTAAGGTTAGTAGAACTGGGAAAAGCTTCCTCCCGTAGATTGTTCCACAATCTAGACACCCTCGGAACAAAGGAGCGGTCGTATCGGCCAGTTCTGGATGTACGAAGTTTGACACGGTTAGGATGGGACGAAGAAGTCAGGCGGGTCTGTCTGGCAGGCACATCGCGCGGCGGCATCATAGAAGAGAGCTCTGAGGAGCAAAGCCCGTTGGAGTAGCGATAGAAAAGAGCTAGATCGCCGACGGCCCGCCGGTGCGAAAGAGTCCCGAGACTGTCTGTTAGAGAAGAGTCATCGATCAGTCGGACCGCCCTCCTCTGGACAGCATCGAGCATGGATAATGTAGTCGGGGCGGCAGCACCCCAAATGTGTGAGCAATACTCAAGGCTAGGCCTTATCTGGGCCTTGTATAGAGTGAGAAGGTCATGCGGAGAAAAGTATTTCTTAGCCCTAAACAAATAGCCTAGCTTTTTCCCAGCAGCTGTAGCTATTGAAGAGATGTGTTCGTGCCAGATCAGTTCCTCGGTGATCTGGACTCCGACCAGCCGAAATGAATGGCTCTTTGGTAGAACTCGACCGTCCATCGAAACTGTATGAGCGCTAGGACGCTTTTTGTTCGTCAAAGTACAGTACTGTGTCTTGGAAGCATTGAACTGTACAAGATTGTTGCGTCCCCAAGCAGTGATAGCTTCCAGGTCTCTTGTCAGAGAAGAAGTCGTCGCTAGTCTTCTTTTTTCCAGCTCAGCGGCAGACATCGGCTTGTCACTCTGAATTCCTGCATGCAGAGTGCTGTCATCAGCGAAGCTGTGGATTGGGTTGATCGTGCAGGAAAGGAGGTCGTTGATATGTAAGAGAAACAGTGTTGGAGCCAAGACCGATCCCTGGGGAACACCCGCGTTGACGTTGTGGGATGAAGAGGAGAATCCGTCAATTACGACGGATATCTTGCGGCCAGAGATAAAGTCAGCCACCCATCTGCAAAGCTTTTCTGGGAGGCCGTAGGATAGAAGTTTGCTTAAGAGGGCAGCGTGCCACAGCTGATCGAACGCTTTAGTGATGTCAAGAGCAACGACATGAGCCTCACCATGAGACTGGATGAGTCTACTCCACAGCTGCGTGACGTAAGCTAGGAGGTCCCCTGTGGATCGTTGGTGCCGGAAACCGTACTGCCTGTCGCTAATCAAGCTGTGACGTTCGAGGTAGTCTAGAAGCTCGCGATTTATGCACCTCTCCATCACTTTACTTATAACAGAAAGCAGAGCTATAGGCCTGTAGTTGTAAGGGTCGGTTTTAGATTCTTTTTTTGGGATGGGCTGTACATGAGCAAATTTCCAGTTTTCAGGGAAGGTGCCGGATTCATAAGATATCTGGAAGAGACGCGAAAGAACTGGAGCAAGCTCCGCTGCACATCTCTTCAGTACAATGGCAGGAATCAAATCCGGACCAGAAGCTTTGTTGATGTCGAGCGACAAGAGCACTTGTCTTACGGTCTTATGCCTGAATGTTACCTCCCGCATAGTGTGGGGAACCCTTTGAATTGACGGCACTTGGGCGTTGGTAGGGACGTCCATGGTGGAGTTGGCAGCAAAGATCTTGGCTAGCACTTCCGCCTTGGCCTTTGAGCCGAATACAATAGTTCCATCCTGACACGTAAGTGGTGGAAGGCTACTGTGTGAGAAGTTCTTTTCAATCTGCTTGGCCAGCGTCCAGAAAGACCGACTGCCATTGCGCTGCGACATTACCCTGTGCCTAACTTTTATATCATGCTGGTTTTTGGCATTGCGTACCGCTTCGTTATATTTGTTTCTGGAGGCGACGTCGGCTTGTCTGTTCTCTACAGTGGGGTTTTGTAAGTAGGTTCTGTGGGCCTTGATCTTCTGCTGGCGAGCAGTGTCACACGATTTGTTGAACCAGCCGTTGGGCCCTGGTTTGGGAACTTTCACTGTGTGAGGGATGTATTCCTCCATTCCGACGTGGATAATTTCGGTTATTGAAGAACAGACAGTCGACGCATCCGCGTCAGTGAAACAGACATCTCTCCAAGGAAAGCTAGAGAAGAAGTCTCTGAGCCCCTCCCAGTCGGCATGTCCGTAATGCCAAGTTTTGCGGCCTGTGCGAGTTTCTGCTGCCACAGCGGCTTCTGACCGAATCCTAACCTCCACAACACCGTGATCTGAGTTACCCAGGGGGGACAGGACAGCAGTGCTGTAAGGGGCAGGATGCGTGGTCAGAAAGAGATCCAGCAGGCTACTGGCGTGTGACGAGACGCGGGGGAAAAAAGTAGGGCTCGTACCAGCTGAGTCATCCCTTGAGTAAGAGCGAACGCTTCGACTGCCCGACCTGCTGCATCGGTCTTATTTGAGCCCAACCAAAGCTCATTATGGGCATTGAAATCACCGAGAAGAGCTACCTCTGAAGCGGGGTGATTGACGTTCAGGAAGTCGATCTGGACGGCGAGGTATTCGAGTAGGTCATCCCAGTTATGGTTCGAGGGAGAGCGATAAAGGCAGCAAATATATTTGGGTGATGTTTTGGAGTTGAGGCGAAGCCACAGAATGTCCTTCCGGTGTGATTCCAAAGAAAGATCCCTGGAGCAGGAAAGACTGCTGTGGACAAAAGCCACAACTCCCCCGTTCTTTCTCAGATTGGAGTGCACCTCGTAGTTTGGGAAGTTGAGATGGTTAATCGGTGCAGTCTCTGAGATTTTTGTCTCCGCCAAGAAAAGCACGGCGGGACGATTGGATTGCAGGTAGTGATGAACAGCATCAATGTTGCTGTTGATCCCGCAGATGTTCGAAAAACAAATTTTATCTTCGATGTTGTTCCCTCGAGCCCATCCTCCACCCGGACATTCCGAGAGTGGAGTGAGTTTACGTCCGGAGTTTTTAGTGCTCGAGGGATCCATCATCATTAATTTCTTTGTTTTGGTAGGTAACCGACTGCATAGCTTAGGTGTGGAAACATACACCCTGGGAAAAGCTAGTGGGTGGTACTACCTCGGTCGACTGGTCCTTGTCTACCACCTTCTTTTTACGTGTTAGTGATGTTAAATAGACCTAAAGTGGCCCGTTGGCGGACTTGTACCACCACCCGGCAATCGGTCCTTAACGCGTGCACAATCACTTGGACGGGAAGAAGTTGTATACTGGATACAACAACTTCTGGAACAAGCATTTGCCACGGCCCTCGCTCAGTAGGGCGACAGATTAGAGGGCTCCTTCAAAAGAAGCCGACCAATTGAGCCCAATCATTTAGGTTATTTTGGGCGCTGAGTCCGAATCAATGGACAGTTAGTCTGTGGGGGCATTTGAAGGTCATTTCAACGTCACTTGGAGCACAAATACAAAACAAGTGTTAGCAGTCGACACCAGATACGTGTCGTATATGTTTTTATGGTCTTTGGTTCCAACTCATAGATTAGATTGTCGTGATGACGACATTTTACAGGTCGGAAGAAATTCAAAAAAGCTGAGTAAGATTCTGCCGGTTGCTATAATATACAGGGTGTTTGGTACATGAACGGACAATTTTTTGTATAACTGGGGAGGTTATTTAACGATTTTTATTGAAGACCGCAATGCTGAAGTACTATGGGGCCGTTCAAGCATTACGTAAGCAGATTTATTATAATTATTTATCCCCCCATCCCCCTTGTCAATAAAGGAAGCAAAGCTCTTACCCCCTCCCCCCATGTTTGTAATGTATCGTTTTTTTTAATATTATAATTATAACGTTATAATTATAATTTGAAAAATAAGAAAATAGATTTAGGATAGAGATTATATTTCACTGATACAGTATTCAACATAGAGTAAAGGACAAAAATATTATATCTTACTAACATAACAAACTTATTTCAAGTTTTTGGTACATATACTAAATTCAATATAACAGTCTTCAGTCCACGAAATCCGAATCCATGATTCAAAGTTTTCGATGACATTGGATTGCTTCGATTGCTGCTCAGTGTTGTGAGTTTGCTCGCTTTCATCGGATTTTGGAATGTCTACGTCGTTCTCATCGAGCCATTCAACATCATGGTGCTCTAAATTTTGAATAATGCACATCAGTTCATTAGCACGACGAGCAGCGACTCTTACAGGTCCAACTTTCATGTCAGTGTGCGTGTTTACTTTTTTATGGATATTTTCGAGGTGACGATTTAGTGACTTGACGGAAGCATGATAAGGACCACACGTTTTGCATGTTCGACTTGATAGCCTCAATTTTACCGGCGGACAAAAATAATCGTAGGGCATTTGCAGGAAATCATTGAGTGAAGCACTTAAGAGTAGAGCTAAATTGACTGGAGGATTAGGAAATTTCCCTCCTTCATCCAAAACCAAGTCATCAACTGTTTGTTTTACTTTTACAGGTGGTGGAAGAAACCTATTGTCTAGTAATCTAAATAGGCCACTTCTTGGACGACAGCATTCTGTATTTCTACATTTTACAATTTGAAGCAAGTATTGGCTCTCATGCTCATGTTCTGAATACCATTTCATGCCTGGAAAATCAGGAAGAACTTGTTCACTTGCCCCAACATATTTTGCATTAACATTATAACCATCAATTTCCATTGAACTCCATACTTCAGCTAATACATTTCCTGCAAATTCGAAATTAGATCTTTCTAAATGTTCATCAATTGTAACGCCACGTTCATCCAAATGAGACCCAAAATGGTCATGAGGCAATATTAAACCAGCCATTCTGCGCTCTACTCTGTTATACGCACTTCTTCCAGGAGCATTGGTAGCTAAAAACAACGGCATCAAGATGATGACGCTTAAAGTGTTGTATAGCAAACCGTATGACTTTTTGATAACGTGGATTTTCATCTGGCCCTCCATCAACCGTCATGATTACCACTGGTTTTACTAGTCCATGGTCAGTTTTAGCTAATGGTCGAAACTCTTCAAGTTCGAGAAGCGTCTCGAAATCCTGAGCATGAGTATTAGCAGTAGATGAACTATGCTTTCCACTTCGAATAGCGATATATGTTGGTCCAGAATATGTGATTTTGATACCAGCATAAACAGATGGTATTAATTTATGACGCTCAGCGATTACCCAATCGTGATCAGGCAATTTGATTCTATATTCCATGTGCATTAGAAGAGGTGCTTGCTTATTTGCCGCAGTTACGCCAATAATTACTCGAGCTTTATCATCTTGAGATATAAAAAATACTTGATCTGGTCGAAGCATGGATGCTATGTTCTCTAAATAATGGATTGATGTTTCAGCGAACTAGCTATCTAAGTGGCTCTTGTGGTGATCAGTTTGAGCCGGACTGTCGATACATGTCTTCGTTCCTCTGCAGAATTAGATTTTCTGGGAATCAAACGAAGATATGTCCCACTGCGACTAATGTCAAATCCTATTTTACGTAATTGTTGTGTGAGTTCATCAAGAGTTTTTACGCCGCGAATTGATTCCGTTCGTCTCCTATCATCTGCTGCACTCCCAAATAAAGCTATATCCGCGATTGTTTTCAATAGTGAATGTTGATTGCTTTCAAGATTAGGACGTCCCACTGAATCCCTCAGAGATAGTTTTTTTTTATTTCTGGATTTTCATGACAAATATCTTCTTTCTTTTCATACCATCCCTGTGTTTCTTCTGGTCAACTGCGTGTTGAACCTTCCTGTTTAAAGGCTGTTTTGCTGTTTTTATTTCCTCGCGCAACTTAATGATCTGTTTATCAACTTCAGCACGGCTTGGCATAGTATCTCTGGCAGAATACAAAGCATTCAGATTTTTTTCGAGTAGAGCAATTTTATTTTTCATAGCTTCCTGAGAAGGTTTTGCTTTCTGTTTATCTGTATTTTCATTAATTTCGTATTGCTGTTGTGATTCATTAGCGGGTTTTATTTTATCTTCTTCATCTTTTTTAATATTTGAAGCTGACTGTATAATTTGTCTTTTTTCTGCAGGTTTATAGGTAGCCTAAAAATAAAAACTTTCTACGGCTTTTGCTAAAGATTCTCTTATTAAGCTACATGAATACAAAGTATGGCAATATATATGGTAAATACAAAACACTATGGCTTTAAATCTAATATGTTTAAACGAGCAATTCGTTCCGATCAAAAAGTTTTCTGTATATATGTATAAAACTAACATCCTGTACTTTGTGACCAATTGAAGGAATCAATCATAAGAAATAAATCTATAATATAATGAATATTACCTCTATACTTGGAGATAGGCCATAATATTTTCTAATCAGTAAAGAGAAACTTTTTGACGATTTCTTATATTTCTAGTACTCATAGTTATCTAAAATGATTTCGTCACCCACCTTAGAAAAAAAACTTAGTAGATTGGATTTGTTCTTAGTCGCCGCTTGCAATTCTTCTTCGATTCTCTTAGATACAATAATATCTAGTTCCTTGTCGGATTTTGCTTGTAATTTGTAATTTCGCCACTCTTCGTTAACTAACTTTTGTACATTTTGTACTTTCGTACTTGTATGAGATTTTTTAAAACTTTCAAGCAATTTTTGGTATAACTTGGATTTGTCTATGTGAAACGACATCTTAGTTAAACATTAAACTTTGGCTAATGGAATCAATGGTAACACAAATGTTAACTTGCTTTACTATGCTTACAATACGTCTACTCGCTATAGTATCCAAACGAAACAATACACTGATAGAGGAAATTTAGAAAAGTGAACACCGCGCCGTAATTCCCCTACTCGTTTCTAAAGCGAGTAGGGGAATTACCGCGCGCTGTTCACTAAACGTATGCATTATTTGCGGGAATCCCCGAAAATGCGTTTCGTTTTCAAGCAAAGACAGTGTGAGGGTTGCCATTCGTGTAAAAAAGTAAAACTACCGATGACGTAATTATCATCTAGACTGCCCTACCCACCATGTCATCCAGAATAAGCAAAGCAAAGGCCCCCCCGCCCCTCCATAGTGCTCACGTAATACTTGAACCCCTATGGTTACAGAGATCAGTTTTTCAATTTTTTACGCTGAATTTATGATAAAATAGATAAAAAATTTCATCAAAATCCGAGCCGTACTTTCCAAGTTAAAGACGGCCAAGGATCAGCTGACAGACAGAGAGACAGACCGATGACGTTGTTTTTCGTGATAAGAAATTCGACGTTATCTTTTTAACTGAAACTTGGAATATTGCAGATGTTAGTTTTTTCAAGGTAAATGGTTATAAAGTACAACAATGCAAATTTTAGCCAAAATGATCGTGTTATCATCTACGTAAATGAAATCCTAAATTCTACGTCAGACACTATACATTTCACCGAGTGTACAGGCGTACTTACTAAGATAAATATACATGAAATTGTTATCTCAATAATATCTTTCTACAGATCTCCCTCAACTGATGTAAAACAATTCTTAATCGATCTCAAATATTATTTAAAAGGTCATGTTATAAATACAGACTTCTGCGTTTTAAATGGAGACTTCAACATAAACACCTTAGATAGTAACAATTTGCTTGTTCATGAATATCTTCACATGTTGTCTATTCTAAACTTCACCTCAATTATGAATATTTCGCGCTTGGCGCCTAATGTACTTGTATTGACCACATTTTTTAGGAAGTAAACAAGAAAGCCATAATTATAAAGCTTGCGTAATAAATCTGATATTACTGATCACTATAGTACAGTATCAACTCTAGCCCTCAACCTTGAAGATTTTGTACATACTAACCCTAATAAAGCGAAGTATAAAGAATATATAGACTATGAAAAATTAATGATAGACTTAAAATCTGAAACCTGGAACAACTTATATAATATAAGAAATATTCACGCAGCAACTATATATCTGCCTACAACAATCACTGAAAGTATATAAAAAATACCAAGAAAATTAAAATAAACCGTAAAAACAGTCCAAGAAAAAACTGGATAACTGCCGGACTAATTAAATCTATCAATGAAAAAAAACGAGAAATATAAATTATATAAAACAAATCCAACAGACGAAACAAAACAATGTGTAGGTTGGCTCTTGTTGTGGACATCGTGTGCTGTTTTTTCCTCTCCATCTTCGTTTCCTAAGTCTAATCATATTAGCAAATTTTCCCGAAATAATTGTAAAGTCTGGTTTTATTGGTGCAAGTTGTTCAAGGGGAAAACTTTTTATTTGACAACAAAGAATGAGACTGATAGGAAAAATGTTATGGCCGAAAATCTAGTCGAATAAAAAGTTTTCCCACAAAACTTGGTGTACCCATTTTATGCGTATATGTTTTGAACACCCCTTTGAACAACTTGCAGCAATAAAACCAGACTTTACAATTATTTCGCAAACCAGGGGTATTTTCGTCTAATATGATTAGACTAGTAATATCAATTGTGTCTATGTTTTTGGGTCGTGCTGAAAAACCGTGTAACCTGACACTACACCCTTTCGTCGCTTATTCTTTCTCCTACTAAATCAATCATCTTGTATTGCGGCGACGAATAAAGACCTTTATTATTATTTATTTTTATTATTATTTTGAAATTTTTTGAGATTAAAATACTTCCTCGCTCAGCGGCGTAGGAAGTAGAGGACCTCAAAACACCTTAAAATATCTATTCTTGAAGAGTTTATCATTATAATGTCAAGAACAATCGCAGGCGTATTATGACCTTTTCACCAATAACATGCTTAAACATAATTTGTGCTGTAAAAGCATTTCCTGCATTATTTTGTGGTACTCTCCACCCTCAAAAATAAGCTATAATCATATTATATAAAAAAATTCATTCTCTGTATGACACTTCTTCCGTTTTTGTCCTCTATCTTAAGCATCGATCGCAAATGTCCGGGAACTTTTGAGCGGCAGTGTATTTGCGCAATTCGCAGATTTAACTCCCTAATAAGGATCCAAGTATTCTAAAATGCAATCTCCTTTGGTGACCTGATTTGATTAGTTATTCAAAGATACCCACCGAAGACAGTGGAAGAAGATAAAGACGTTCCCACGAGACGGAGGCAAAAATTCCATCAACGATTTCAAATTCTGGATTTATTTCCCGTTGCTGCGACGGAATGAGTGCCGATCCCATAATAAGCTAAAGAGAACATTTAATTTGTAACTGCGATTGATATTTTAAGAATCTCTGCGACTTAATGAATGAAATTCCCTCCCCCGCGAACTACGCGCTTTCATCTTTGGGTGGTAGATTAGCTTCTTTGTCAGATCAAAGCTTTTATAGCTTTTATTGAGACACAAGTTAGATGGAGTTGCTAGTGAGATATACTGAGTGAGAAAAAACGTAAACACCTAACTATGTCTATCAGATTTTAATAATTTTTGGCATATATGTTCAGTGGTTCATTGTGGTGTGATCGAAACAAGCTCATGGATAGCGCAAAAGGTTTTTTAATAGTAATTTGATGCAAAAAGTTAACCTGATGCTGCTTCAATGTGCCATTAAAATAGCTAATTCGACTGTTTCAATATTCACGCGGATCTAAAAATTTTCGATAACGTAAAATCCATCTAAATTGTTCAGGTAAAGTTCGA